GAGTGGAATCTTTGTTGTTTACAGTATATTTGGTTTTGGTGATGTGTGTTTGTCTCCATATGCAGAATCATTTCACTGTTCACCATCTAGCTTGTTTCCTGTTTGCCTGTTTTATTGATACAGATTATAAATGGTTGATAGTCACTTTAACTCATTTATTTTACATCTCTATAGTATTTTGTTCATAGTATTGATTTCAAACACCAAAACAACTGGTTCACATGAGGAAAGGTGTGAAGATACAAACTCTGCACCCAAACAAGAAAGAGTGAAGCCGCTGTGAGCTGAGACCGTTTAGATTTATTAGTGCTGACTGGAAGAGACAGAAATTACAGTGAAGACAGGAAACGTTTAATCAATTTACAGAACAGAGTTCGATATAAAACAACTGGAATAAAGAGATCAGCTACGACCTCGAGAGAGAGAGAGAGAGAGGTTCACATATTGTTGGTGTCCACGTCACTTTTGGCCCAGTTGGGAGAGCTGCGGAGAGGACAGCAGTGGGAGAAATATTATCAGCAAAATGTAAAATGTAGTGATGTAGAAAAAGGAAGGGAAGAAATCAGACTAAATTTTACAGTGACCAAAGTTACTGATCAACCAAACTCAATTCAGAAAACAAGGGTAACAGTCGTCTTGCAGACAGACCGACAGAGTCTGAGTTCAGAACATCATGATGGAGTTATTTCAGCATCATTTTGATCCATTTATTGACATGAAATTAGTCAAATCTGTTCATTGTGTCTCATACTGCAGCACTAAACCAGATTAAAAGGTGAACACACCATCAGAGAATTGTAGTGGAGTGAAGGATAAAGTTGCATAAAAAGGAAAAACTCCAGTTTGTACTTCAGTACAGTAACAGTGTACACATCTAAAAAGGAGGCGGGCACACACTCTGCTGTATATAACTGGGACACTTTAGATGAATGGAGCAGGTGTGACTCACCTGTTTGATGAACTGAGCGGCGTTGAAGAGTTCACTGCAGCCGTAAACAACTTTCTTCCCCTGTTTGACCTGAAAACAGTCATCAGATCATCTGCCGCTTTACATTGATCTCACATCAGGTTCTCAAAACATCCGTTAGTCATCAAATAATGTATCGATCTTACATTTTTCTAACCAATTGTAAAGTGAACAGCAGAAGAAAGTTACTCGCAGTATTACAGTACCTTGGCGTAATCCACCAGGTTCTGGTACTCGATGTAGTTTCCTCCTCCGACCACGAACACGATGGCCTGAAACAGATAAACAGGACACCAGTGAGCCGCTGGATCAGGAACAAACGTTTAACGACAGCGAGGGCCCGATCATCGCTGCTTGCAGCTTTAATGTTGTTCTTTTTATTTGTATTGTGAAACAAAAAGAAACAGTACTTAATCAGGAAAGGTCAAACTAGGTAAGTGTCACTTTAAATTACTAGTAAAAGCTGCTTCATCAACAATCTTTTCACAGTTTGTGTTCCAGTTAAAATAACTACAGTGTGTAAAGTGAATTCCCCAGTGTGGGATCAATAAAGTCTATATTATCTGGATCAATAAATGATGGCGATATAGCTGATATAGCTGAATATTGTCAATATTGATCATTTTTAATATAGACAAGAAAGAAAAAGGTTGAATTGATCAACTTTTTGTTTCTTTTTGCATTGAAGTCAAACTATTGATAATCTACTGAAAAGTGTTAATCATTACTGTATTTATTGATTAATATGGTTCTTACAATCTGTTAGAGATAAGAATTGAAGATGAGTTTTGAAGTATTCTGAATTCATGAATGAAGTGAAGAGAAACTGGAGCAGCAGTTCAGCCTCCGTTTGGAAACAACTCATCAATCAAACTTCAGTCCAGAAACAGACTCACCTCCTGAAACGGGTTCTTGTTCCTGGGAATGGAGCTGAAAGAGAAGGAGAGGAAGAGGAGGAGTGAGGATGATGAAGACATTCCTGAGCTTTCTAGCAGTCAACAGGCAGCTGAGCGTCTCACTGACTGACGGTCAGCAGCTCCACTGAGCGAACCCATCGTACCTCTCGCTGCCTCGCAGCATCTTCGGGTCGAAGTACCGATAGTCGTCTGTTTCCTGGAAGATCAACACAGATAAATACATTATCGGGCTTCACTGACTCAAGTCTGGATGCTTCAGCCACTTACTGTCTTCCATTCGTGGTGAAAACATAAGGAAGACATGAATACATCAAACAAACAGAAAGTTATACTTCTGCATACCGATCCTCTGACCAAAGGCTCCGGTCTGTCCTCACAGCCAGGACTAAGAGCTTTGGAGGCTTTCTGGAAATATTGGCAGTTTAAAATGGGTCCTTATGGAGACTGACTCACTGCTGGAGCCTCTAGTGGACGTCAGAGGAACTGCAGCGTTGGCTTCAATGGCAGCCACAGAGGTTGCGGCTGGCTTTCCACTCATTATGCTAAGCTAAGCTAACAACATCCGGACCTATGCTGAACTATTACTTTATTATTCTGTTTCACAGCCGGCGTCTCATATTCTACAGGTCGCTGTGCAGCGCCCTCTGCTGGTGAT